GGAAGTGATGGGAAGCGAGGGGAGGTAAAAACTGATACATAGTCCTAGCAGCCATGTTGTTTGATTACATGTGGTAAGATCCGAGTTACTGTTCGAAGTAAAAGGTACATTTATTAAATCTGGAATTTTCCATGAATCCCGAGGACTAGAAATGAGATGATTGCATGGATACAGACGATTCAGCTGGTTGTCAGGGGGGGGGGGGGGGGTGTCCCCATATCAAACCAGGTTATAAAGAAATAATTTGTGTTCCTTTTTGGATATTAACCAATCGGAGGCTAGAATACAAACAAAATTAAATTATTGCTATATAATTGAACAATATTGCATTTTTCGTGTAATTGTAACTGAAATATATGTCAGCAAGACTTATATGATCATACAGTGTCTACTAGAATGATCGATACTTAGTCAGTTGACTTAATGATTAGAACATAAAGAATAATTAACTGTGATATGATGCCTCGTCGGGTAGTTGTTTTCTAGAGGCGCTGGGAACTGTTCAACTTGCTTGATTTACTTTTTATTTACAAACACAATCAGTTGCTTTCAAAATTTAGTGAGATGGTATAAAGAGTTTCTGCTTTGGATTTCCTCAAGTGATTTTCATCAGACTGTGGAACTTTTGTACATGCTGCGATGGGAAACTGTTTAAGAATTTCTTTGAGTTGACTTTGAATTGGATTAATACGATGGCCGACAGCGGCCGCCACTTTCCAATTAAGAATATTGTCATTTTGCACAGCGTTTTTGGCAATTTTCGTTGACAAATTACAACTAAACTGGTAGTGCTCTATGTACATGTACAATTTTTACACTGACAATTCCTACCAGCGAAAAATATTAAAATTCTTTTGAGGGAAAAGAAATTAAGATCATATAAAACAGGTGGCTTGAAAGAGATAAGGAGCATTTTAATGATTTTCATTCTTAGTTTGCCTGCATGAGATATCGTAACCCTGTTAATCATAGATTCTAGACGTAAACTTGTCATTTTGAAACCTTTCTTTCTTGTCGTATCATTAAAAAAAATACTTTTGGGATTGTAATTGAAAAGGCGGATAAAGTAATACGTTTGTTGCAATGGATATACATCAATACACTAGCATCTCGGAGAGCACGAGACAGCTCCTATTTTGTAGAGGCAGAAAACAGAATTATATGGAGCTCTACATGAAAGCATCTTGTCTAACGTCTTTGGAATAGATCAAAAACAGAACTTTAGACAAGGAAATATACACGCAAGAATAAAATGACAACCTTAATGGGATTATATTTGCTCCCTAAATATATAAAATTAACAATCAAGTGCTTGAAACTCTTTTGAAAGGCCAACGCAGCCTCCAGCCTTCCATCTGGTCGGCCAATTATTTTTCAATGTGACACGACAAAGGAAAATATAGGTAGCTACTATGATGAATTATCTTGTACGCATTGTTAAAATTCATACCTCAAAGACACGTCTGATTATATACAAAAAACTTTCGAATACACCTAAAAAATTTCATCCTGGATATGACCTATGATGTGACCAGCACGTACATCAACAATGAATTTTATAAATCAATTACTATAATCTGTCGATAAAGCATATCGGGAAGACAATACTAATCTAGACTTACCTCGATTTTGCAATTCTGTTAGAACATAAAGCTTGTCACTTTCGAGTAACCTGTTTTATGTATCTACATTTCATATCACATGAAGGAATTTTAATGATTTTCTCCGGTGGAAATTGTCAGTTTATTAATTGGACATGTACAAATAGCATTACCAGTTTAGCTGTAATTTGTCAACGAAAATTGACAAAAACGTTGTACAAAATTGCAATATTCTTAATTGGAAAGTGGCGACCGCTGTCGGCCATCGTAGATTACTAATATAACTGTCAAGTTTTCTGTCTCAAAACACAATTTCTATGTAGAATTATGTAAGTTATGTCTATTGTCCAGGTGTTTTTATCTACAACTTAATATTGCACTGAGCATTAAGTCGCATATTAACATCTAATAGAAATAGAAAATACATATCTAGAATACTTTCTAAACTTTTGCCAAATTAAGCATTTCTATTTATTATGTTATATCGAAGATTTATTGATAAGAAATGAAGACAGGAAGAGGTATATCTTTTGGTTTGTAAAAAGTGGCATCGACAATAATGTCCAAATCCGAATGCTTCAAAATTCGGGTAAAAATCACCAGTCAATAGATCGAACGCATATACGCAACAGATTGCAATTCAATGAAAACTAAAAAAAGTAATAAAAAGGTTATATATAATTGATATTAAACAAAGAGTTAAATAACGGCAAACCAAAGCATCAGGTAATGAATGGTTTGGGACCATAGAACTCTTAAGGGTTTTTCCCAAAAATATATTGGATATAATGATGACGAGCCATTAAATAACTGTATATCAAAGTGATGTTGAAAATTATTTACTACATTACATCTAAAAAAAAAAAAGCATACGATTCGGAGTCTGAATTTCTAATCGTTATATTGATAATGAAAACGACGAGAAATCATTTATTTATTTGTATTTTTTGGGAGAATAAGTGTCATATGTATGTCCATTCTTTGTTTCTTCATACCATACATTTGCTTTCATGCAATATATATAATATCAACTTTACAAAGACTGATAGTTTGAATTCCTAGATTGTTAAAGAAAAACAAATGGTTTTAAGTTTTCAGACTTTTCAGAAGTGTCACAAATACCTTCCATGCAGAAAAACCCTTTCCAACCCGTCTTACAAGGAGATGTGCACCGTCCTGTGAATCTGTCACACATTTCACAATTATAGCACTTTTTCAAACAGTTTTTTCCATACAAACCACTAGGACAGACTGTAATTAAAGGAAAATAAAAAAAAAGTATCATTTGTAATATCGATACAAAAATACATATACATGTATATTAAATCAATTTAAAATTGTGTGCTATCAGAGGGTCTCGAGACACTCTACATAATCCATCTTTATTTTTAATTTTTTTTCTCATCTTACCGTATTATTCTGCTGATAAAGGTTTCTCTTAGTTCAGAGGTTACACAAACCCTTACACTTGCTTTTCATTTTTACAATGCATGCAATATAGTCATTGTTTTGAGTTTACGAGTGATGACAACAATATATAAAAAAGATAAAGAATTCGAAATTTTAATCCTTTAGGTTTCGCCTAGGTACAATGTACACAGATGGAATGCACCCAATTGACCTCACCGAGAAGCAACAATACATACAGAATAATAATACCATTTTTCTATCACACCCTGTAACAGTCCGAGACACCAATATAAGCCGGACGGCCGAGGGTCAGAGGGCTGATACAGAGTTTGATATTGTAAAGGGTATGGTCTACTATGTATATTACATACTAAGTAATAAATACAGTGCACATCTAATTGAGCAAATACAAATAAATATCGACTGGCGTATTATATCAAATAACAGTAATTTAAAATTAAATGCATTTCTTACAAAGAATGTGATCGAAAAAGTAAGTGTATTATCCCAAGTAATGTTTTTTAACGTTCAGTCTAGAAGGGGTGCCATATATATCCGTATCAACCCTGCAGATCCATATAAGCCTTGCAGGATCCGTAACATCTCTGGAAGCTGATACTGCTGTTGTGACGTCTGGCATACGGCATATGCAAAAAAAAAAAACTTGTATTTATTACTAAGTACATGTTTGTAGTAATTAATAAATACCTATTTTGCATTTGTCTCCATACACTCCGACGTCACACGTTCCGGTACACGTTCCGTTGACATGGTTACAGGTTCGACCGTCAGTACAGTTTCCACACTTTTCGCTACACAGCTCTCCATAAAAACTTTGATTACACTCTAATTTTTTTTTTTATAAAGATAAAATATTTATAAACAAAACATAATATACGATGGATGTCCCAGAAAAAAGAGATTTTCTTAAGAATTTCAAAAACTACCTAACCAATGTAACAGTCTAAGCGGAGAACAAGAATCAAGCCCGGGCTTCCCGATCACTAAGCGAACGCTCTACCACAACGCCACTGTGCCCGGTCTTTACCCGATTGAGGAGTCATTTTGTAGATCAACAATAAATGTCGATAAATGGAGATCTCGGAAGCTGGACGTAACACGTTTTAAAGTTCTATGTAAATTATGATTGGTATGGGAAATTGTCCACTAAAAAAAATATTATTATTATTATTTTACGTCCCTTCGAGAATTTTTCACTCATATAGAGACATCACCATATATCAGTAATGGATTTCAAAGTAAGACCTTTACTTGGCACTCAGAGCCATTTAAGGAGTGAGGGGTCTTAATCGTGCCAACGCCCACCCTGACATGAGGCCTTGGTTTTCAAGGTCATATCCAATAGACTCCCATCTCTCACTTCAAAAGGCCGAGTGCTTGGTGAAGGAACCGTTTCTTCCTATATTTTTTCAACTTACGTATGTCTCGGCAGAGGTTTCAACCCAAGACCTCACGAGAGTTTGGAGCTACCGTGATGGTCTCTAGTAAAAGCAAAATTTTGCAATCTTTTGTCATCTTTAGTATGACTGAGATTTTAAGAGTTCATGGATATCTCGGTAACTACATGAAAATCAAAAGACATATCGAATTTATGCTTCAAGCGAAATTCAGACGCAAGATTCCTGATAAAATTCACAAACGCCACAACAAACATTTTGAGGTCAACAGTGTTGTTCAGAGAGCTTTTTTAAAATCATTTTTAACTGAGGAAAACAAGTAGAAATTTCTATGCATTATCCAAACAATGTTGATTATGATGCAAGTTAATTTTTAACTTAAGTTTGTACTGTAAATGAACAAAAAACAAAAACAAAAAAAAAAAACAAAACAAAAACAAAAACAAAACAAAACAAAACAAAACAAAAAAAAAAAAAAAAAAAAAAAAAAAAAAAACATTGAAAACGTTCGTTTCTTTTCTGGGACATCCCTGGTAATTGCTTGCGCTCAACAAAATGGATCCAAATGCCATTAAATTACAACAACAACCATAATAATCATCATAATAATAATAATGAAAATCTTACGTTGTTCACATTGATGTCCCTGGTACCCAGACTTACATCCCTGGCAGACACCAGATTGTATGTGACAATATCGACAGTTTGAGCCAGGACAGGGAAGAGAACAATTAGATCCATAATATCCAGTTACTGGGCACCCTTAATCAAAGACATGAATACTTGTAGCTTCCAACTGTAACCTTATGTTATTTCTAGATTAAAATTTTCCATACAATAGATTTTAATTTTACTCACCATAAACTTCTACTTCACACAGTTCAACAAATGCATCAGGATAATAATCTCCAGGGTACGGTACCCCTTGCAATCTTTCGTTGTAATAGATGACGTACTGACCATGTGCAGGACAGCTGATGTTAACATGGTCGGGTATGTTAAATTTAGTATAACTTGTATCATGGAAACATGATATTCCATCATATTTGTCTGTTGTGTTGGATATATAGACAGAGAATCCCAAGAATCGTGTTGTGTATTTATTGTTCTCATCTAGTGACAAATTTAGAATCATTTGAAAAAAAAAAAAAGACAAATACATTGGTCTGTGTCGGGAAGTATGAACAAAGCAATCACAGTATTCTGCAATCTAATTATGAACAAACAAACAAAAAATAACCTCAACATTTTTTGAAAAAAAGAAAAATCATTAAAAAGTACTTTTCATGTAATTGCTGAGTCATACTATACAAATGTCTCCGATAAATAGCTTTTACTTTCCACCATCGATCAATGAGATCAATTGTAAAATATGTCGTCAACTGAACACGAGTAAGTCTAGTGAGTGTAAACATGGGAATATTCCAATTATTTTCTACTTCCGTGATACAAAAAATTAATTGTTGAGAAAATCTGTCTGGACAAAATTATGAAGCCATTGACCATGAGTTGAATATTCCTCGAAACAATGTCTTTTCAGTTGTACAAGGCTATATAGCCATCAGTTTGGTTAGAGAGGCCCAAGAAGTGTAAACTGTCAGAAAACGGAAAATGGACGACCGTGAAACTAGGAAACTTATAAGAGTCGTATTGTTCCGCTAAGCGGTATAACCAATATTTTCAATCGAGGTAGGCATACTTCTATTTTAAAAAGGATGCGAATATGTGACGAGAATTGAAAAAAAAAAAAAAAAAACAAACAAACAAACAAACAAACAAAACCAAAAAAAAAAAAAAAGTGACATGTTGCAGAGGGAAGGGAGGGTGGAAATTGGATGAAATTGGATAAAGTTATATTCACTGTTGAATGCATGGTAATAACAATAGAAAACAACCGCGTGTTTGTGTGGAAGCGACAGGGTGAAGAACGGAAGCCCGCGAATTTCTGCCTATCAAAGTAAGTTTGATGATCTGGACATTTGTAACTTGGAACTGTGTGGGAACAATTTGTGTTTATGTTCATTACCTGTATTTCATAAGAAAATAATGTAGAGTTTACTAATTCCGTTCACATTTTCCTCTGTATTCATTTATAACAAAGTACAAATATAGACACAAAATCTCTGTCTTTGAACATTCATAAAGTAATGATAAAAAAGTCTCAAAATGTCACTTAGAACTCTTGTCCTTACTTTTGCCCTATGTCGGAACATTTGAAAACAAATCTGCACTACTGCAAAATATTATCTATATACATGAGAATCTCAGTTTTCCATTTTTATCCATTTTAAGTAAATATGAGAACAAGAAGATAATCAGATTTTAATTACTTCTGAAGAAAAGCAAAACTGCAGTTTTTTAAGAACAAAATCTTTTCTGGATAATAACACATGTTCAACAATAAACAGTAAAAAAAAAAACTTATTTCTCCTTAAGAAATCACCTACACAATTACTGTAAGATTTAAAAAATGGAACAATAGGAAAAGTGTTAAAATTACAAATAAAAAAAAAAAAAAAGAAAAAAAAAATTAAAAGTAAAATTGCAGTATTTCTAAGAAATATTTAAATTAAGAAAAAAAAAACAAAACAAAAAACAAAAACAAAAACAAACTTAAAAAATTAAACAGGAAGAAAAGAATAAGCACAACTTACTCCATACAAGATTATCGGTCCTGTAGTAGATCAATATGTTGTTTATACTAAGAATTCCACCCAGGTTAACCCACCACGTAGCTGCTCTTTGTCCACCCTTTGACACACTGCACTGTCCACCAACATATGATCTGTCACTTTTCTTACCGTCTACAGCTTTCATAGGACCGGAATATGCGGGGTCGTGTGAAGTGCCTTGCCATGTAGGTTTATTAAACGCCAAGTTCTCTGAAATATATTATTTTACCATCAATAAAAAAGTCATAATTGTTTTGAATTGCACACTTTCTAGCTATTAAATCCGGATTAATTTTGTATTTTTTATGTTGTAAATGTTTTCTTTTCATGTTTTTTTTTTAAATAAAAGGTGACATGAAACTTGGAGATAATGAACAGTGACCATGCTCAAAAGTCCACTCGAATACAAAAAGTAAGCAAAACCAACACGGTCTGAATGCAGATGTTGCATCATGTGCTGTAGAGTAGAAAATATCCTCTGTCGACCGGCTGGACCCACTGTTTGCCACTGACATAAAGGTACAATTCCTAGATTTATCATAATCCCATTACAAGTAATAGCTTTACAAAAAGCTTGCCTGACTAAATTAATCAATATCTATGGAACGTATAAGCAAGAGAAAGTGCTGCATGTAAACGTTTCCATCACTCAGGATCGACATAGTTGCGATACCTCATTACGCAGGTGAGTTAAGGCTAGATGTAGGCATTTCTATGCAAATAATCTAATTAAAATGCTAGGGACTATATCTATTTATACAGAGAAAGCTAAAACTTATTGTCTAATACTTACTTGGTACCCACGACATGAGATAGCCATTACACGAGATTATAATGGATATCAACAAAAATGCTTCGGCACAAGGGCGTGCTCTATTTTATTTAACTAAAACAAGATATATTTAGAAGCAAAATATTCCAAAGTTTGCTGGTATTGCTGCACAAATATCAACAGCTCAGTTGTTTCTATGTGCAAAGGTTTAAGTTGAATAAGGGTAAAAAAAATGTACAGTCCGGTATAAGTTTACTCAAATTCCGATCAAATGAGAAAATCCGAGGATTCGTACAGTTGTTTTATTAATCTATAGAATATTCTTCTTAGCATCATACAATTTTTATGTAAAAATAAAAAGGGTAATCCCTTGCGCCGAAGCTGTTTTGTTTATGTGTTTTATTACCTCCAGTAGGTAAGATCAGTGACGTCATAATATGACGTCATAATTTGTACTGGCTATAACATATCCTGGGTACATGTACTAAGTATGCATAAGAAAATAAATCAACACTTTCTCTGAATAATAAATATACCTCTTATGCGTTTTTAATAGCTCATTTGCATAGAAACACCTTTACCTAGCCTTAACTCACATGCGTACACAAAATGTACAATTGACTTTCTCAAATGCCATAACCTAATATTACAGATTATCGAATATCTAAGACATGCCACTGTTTGATCATTTGTTAGTTACACCACGGGCTGACTACCCACTAGTTACGTTGGGATGAAATGCAAGTGCCCTTGCGTAGATTGGAATTCTGAGGAAAATAGTTCGTCGTTTTAGAAATTCATATTACCAGAGGGCGCGCGTCTTCTTGCATACTCTCTGGTTAGTGATAGATTGATGAGACGGTCTCTATTTAAAGACTGGTCTGTTTTCATTTGTTGTCGACGACGAAGTAAATTGTGAATAGTTTTAACAAAAGCTGTCTTGAAGTGTTTGAGACAAAAATGCTTCAATGCTGCTCTAGGACACAAAGTAAATGGCCGATATACTTTATAGCTAGAGCAAAACAAGAAAACAAGATACTGATATCCCCCTCCCCCCGGACAAAATTCACTTGCAATGATGGTCTTACCATATATTGTGAATGAGTTTAAAATACATATTCATCTACAGATTTAAAAGAGTTTACAGTTTTTCTTTTCAATCGATTTCAGGAACTTTCTCATTTCTACCTTAATAAGGCTGTGTTTTGTTCTTTTTTTTTTTTTTTTTTTTTTTTTTTTTTTTTTTTTTTTTTGAAATGAAAACCAGTACAGATCATGATGTTTTCTTCATTTTGTCGAATTTTTACTTAGAACCTTTCGGGAGTGAAGCCCATTCCTCTACGGGTACTGATCTACACTTTTGCACTTTGTCGCTGTATTAAAAGAAAATCCTTGTTCCTCACAAAGCATGGAATAATATGCCACTGACTGACTTTCTAAGCTTTTTAAAGAGCTTACCTAAGGCTTGTAATGTACATTATTTTGTAATATTGAAAGAGAAGGAAAACAGACTGAATTAAGAAGGAATGTCCCATTTCCACGGTGGACGGACTTTGTTTATAATTGGACTAGTCCACTTATGGGAAACAATTAGCATATCTATTGCTTTAGTGTTGCCTGTCCATATGCAATGTGTTATTTAAAAATGAGAAAAAAAAAATCCAGTTTATAAAAAAATAAAGCTTAAGAATCAGGTTAAAATAACAGACTTTAGTTATTTCCATAGAAGTTATCACATCCATTCAATAGAACAGTCCAAGAAAAAGGCGCGAAGATAATTTACTTGTGACATTTGGCTCGAAATAATTATATAATAATAATATAATATGTCACCCCTTTCATAGAAGACAAATGGAATGATCCAGTAGTTTAGAACCGAAGGAAAAAAATGTTACTCGGACATATCCGTATAAAGAATCGCAGAGAATAAACAAGTGCTGCAAGAAAAAAAAAACTGAAGGAAGTAAGCAAATCATTATTGTGCATCAGTAATATAATTATTTCTTTTGCAAACTGTATTTGTGAAAATGCAGGTAACAATTTCCGATGTAAATCAGTTTGCACCAAAATCGAGCTTACTAAGTATGATCGCAGCTAGGATAAGTCTGTCCGTAAAATATCAATGTGTTCCAACCGTAGTGACTTCTCTGAACTACCTAGATATATTATGACGTCAAGTCACTGCCTACTTGAGCTGACATGACGGGAAAAGTGTCATAACTTTTATATTCCTTTTACATTACATGTAAAGATTTAATTTAGCGTTTGGTTTGATTCAAGTGTCTTGATTGTCCTTTAAGCTTAAGTGTGTTGTTAAGATGTTGAATCTTTGCAATTTAATATCGTTATTCATTTAACTTGTTCGATGTACATGTATTCAAACAATAACAAAAAAAAAAAAAAAAAAAATGATGTTGAAACGCTCCCCCTTACATGTCCGTGGACAGAGTTAGAATTTATAAATCGTGTATATATTTGACTGGCACAAGTGACTAATAAGGATAAATTGAAGATTTTCTGTGTGAATCTTCTAAAGAAGTATGCCCTCTAACTGAATTTTGCTGGGGGATTGTATGTAACTTATCCTATTTTGTATAAAGAGTGGAAATTGCCCCCTTGTACATGGGTAAGTTGAATTTCTCGTGGAATATTTTCTCAAGAAGTAAAATTTAGACTTGCCCCTAGCACTTTATATGTACCAAAGATCATGATGAATTGATTTATGTGACAAAATTTTCTCAATAATGTTCTTTTGTACTTGTGTCGATGCGATTTTTGTGCAACATTTAGAAATTTATAAGCGTCCGTCACGTGATCAACAATGTCACGTGACATAAAAAAAAATTCATTATTATAATGCCTGATTACACGCTCATCACAAGTTGACTGCAAATTCATACACAGATTACAAATTAAAATTAAAATTAAGCACAAATAAAATGTATATTTTAATACGTATTAGGCCTTCTGAGAGCCTAAACATAGCTGCGATCGCTTAGTTTCAGGCCATAGAAATATTGATCCTTATATTGCCTGCAGCTCGTGGCGTCAGATAAAAACTCTCAAAATTACAGTTCTGGGCACGCAAATGTATCTATTGTAATTCTTTAATATCTTTTTCTCTCGGAGAAAATGGTTGGAGACGCTTTATATGAATATTTGCTTTCATTTTACATATCTATAAAAGTCTGCTTAATCATTAATCATTTGTTTATTTCCAGGAATTTATAATATTCTTCAAATTATTCTTAAGAAATGTAAATTTTTTTTCTTTTTTTTTTTCTTTTTTTTTTCGATTTGTCTTGGAATAAAATGTCAATAAAGTAATTTTTAAGAAGATTTTTTTTTATATCTAGATTCCGAAAAAAGAAAAGAAAATCAAGGACAAGGAGAGAGAGAGAGAGAGAGAGAGAGAGAGAGAGAGAGAGAGAGAGAGAGAGGAGATTGTATCTCTTCCGTGTTCGATCTCTTCCGTGTATTTAAAGAAAACTGTGATATTTCTAACAAATAGCCCCTTCACATCTGCTAATTATGAGCGTATTAAAAAAAAAAAAGTATTTTCTAAGCGTCCATGACAAGTAAGCTTCATTTTGTTTTATTTTCGCATCCCCAAATAACAGAGGTTTGTATTCTCCAAAATAGTTATTGTTGCGAGAGGATGTTCCGCAAGTGACGATCTCGTTTTATCGATTTAACAACCCCCCCCCAACCCCCCAACCCCCGAAAAAAATGAACTTTGAAAAAAAATCACTTTAGTATCTTACATGCGTATTCTTAGTTCAAAGTTCTTTTTTACAGTTTAAAAAGCAGTGCAGGCGTATAGATCTTTTTTCATAAATATAAGAATATTGCATAAAAAGGTAGGTGTATGCATTGCACAACAAAAAAAACCTGTAAAGAAGACAAAAAGTGTATTTATAAATATATTTCGCAGTTACTCATTTTAACATACGCAGTGATATTTAGTTTTATTTATATTTAACAAAATATTTCCTCTTTTACAACTACGCACTGGGTTATGCTAATTCAAGCTGGCATGTTTTTTTTCGTTAATGTGAAGTTGTATTTGTAATTTTATATATTAAGCAAGTCACATTATGCATCAGAGAGACAAATCTGCGCTGCTAAATCTAAATATATAATGTACACATTTATCTTCATGTTTATAAAGACGGAAAGTTTTAATTCCATATATATGCATGACTTACCATATTCCTGCGTACTAATCATTATATTGATCATATTCCATATCATAAAGTAAAACAACTTCATGCTTTCTCAACCAGGAAGTAAAATAGGGGCGCAACAGACCAGAACTTGTTTACTAACATTCTTAAATGCCTCTCAGGTAGCAGACAAAAAAAAATTATTAATCTTAAATCGTACATAAGATGCTTCATTTCAATTAAAAACAAAATCATAATAAATCTGAATTTAT